TCAACAAGAAGCACCGTGTAATAAAGCCTTCGTGGCCGCAAACTTCAACCTCCAACCGATTTGCAAGGAGCTACACATCGGATGCTTTGCATGTGATTTGGTCGCCGAAACTCTTCTACCAGCATAATCAGCTACATTAACTGCTCAATCCACCACCAGTCCCAAAGAATTCCTCCGACGACAGCTACCTGCATCTCGACGTCATCACGATGGCGCCTCTCGTCCCGCGATTCCACCTCTTTGAGATTGACGACCAGACTTGGTATGTTGCGCCTCCCAACTCCTACTCTCACCCCTTACAGCCCCCTCTGCCTTCATTACAGACAGCTAACACATCCTCCCCCAACCCAGGTTCCCCTCCTTCCTCCGAGCCTACGTCCAAGAAGGCCTCCACGCAGCCTGGGTCTACCGCGTCCCCGTCCTCCAAACCTCCTCTCCAGCCCGCGTCGCCGCCCAGATCCTCCAGCACGTCCTCGGCCCCCGCCTCCCCTCCTACACCTTCATCGACTTCTGCGCCGGCTCCGGCGGTCCCACCCCGGCCATCGAGCGCTTCGTCAACCGCCACCTCACCGCCCAGAAGCAGCCCAACGTCGACTTTGTGCTGACGGACCTCCACCCCAACACCGAGTCCTGGGCCCGCGCCGCCGCGCGCAGCGAGCATATCGGCTACGAACCAAAGAGCGTCGACGCCGCGCACGCGCCGCGCGAGCTGGTTGACGGGTACACCTCCAAAGGCAAAAAGGTTTTTAGGCTGTTTAACCTGGCGTTCCACCACTTTGACGACCCGCTGGCGAAGGCGATTTTGAAGAATACACTCGAAACGTCGGATGGCTTTGCCATCATGGAGCTGCAGGGCCGCGACCTCTTGTCGTTCATCATGCCCGCCATCCTCGGTATCGGCTGCTTCATCTTCGCGCCCCTGTACGCCTGGAGGCTGCGCAGCTTTTCCGTACTCATCTTTACCTACCTCATCCCGATCATCCCATTTGTGCTGGTGTTTGACGGGTACATTTCCGCGCTGAGGACGAGGACGCCCGACGAAGTAGAGGCGCTGATGAAGTCGTGTGGCGGCCGGACCGAAGGGTGGGAGTTTAAGAGCGGCAAGGAGATATATATGCCACCTGTTGGTTCTGTGAGGTGGATTGTGGCGGAGAAGATTTCTTCCAGAGATTGGTAGATTCGGGATCCAAGAGGAAAAGAGGAAGATGAATCTAGATTGAGAGAACATACAGAACTAAAAAAAAAAAAAAATGAACGAAGACAAGACCGATTTGCTGTCGGATTTGATCAATTTCTAAGTCTTATGTACTTGCATGGCATGACTACTTGACAACGCGCGAACATTAACGTTGAGAGATGACTGATTACAACTTACGTCCTTGCTGGAGTTGATATGTTACAATCCACCCCCCCCCCCCCTCCCTTCGGGGCGAGTTGAGAACAAGTTGGCTAGTGACAAGTTTTGAGAGAGGTATCAGATTTTGATCAAGTTAGTGCACAGGAGCTAATGTACTCCAATATGGTGTTGATAGTGAACATGAATGAATCGGAACATTCACATTCAAAATTTGGAACGGTAGTTTTGCTTCATGTTTATTCTCATTCTCATTCTATGAAATGAAGCCCAGAACAGATATCACTCCGTTTTGACACCAAATCCCCAAAACTTGTCGCAGTATCCAATCCACGCGACAATTATGTTCGTGTCGGAACCATGTCGACGACACATCCTGATTTCCCAAAGTTGTACCCAAAAGATGATTAAAGAAAAGAGCCCTTCATAAATCCATAAATATGATCGCTAATCAACTCAGAGCATGCTTGCGCTTTAAACGACGGGGCCGGCCTTGACGACCTCCTCGGTCGCTTCGCTGGCGTACTTCTTGAAGTTCTCGTTGAAGAGGGTGCCGAGCTTCTTGACCTCGGTGTTGAAGCTGTCGTTGCCGGCAGTCCAGGCGGCCTTGGGGTTGAGAAGCTCGTCGGGGACACCGGGGCAGGTCTTGGGGACCTGGAGGTTAAAGACGTCGTAGGTCTCGTACTCGACCTTGGCGAGCTCGCCAGAGTGGATGGCGTCGAGGATGGCGCGGGTGTACTTGAGGGGGCAGCGCTTGCCTCCCTGAGCGGCACCGGCACCGACCCAACCGGTGTTGAGGAGCCAGGCGTTGGCGTTGTGGTGCTCGATCTTGTCGGCAAGCATCTTGGCGTAGCGCATGGGGTGCAGGGCCAGGAAGGGCTGGGCGAAGCAGGAGGAGAAAGTGGCCTGGGGCTCGGTGACACCGTCCTCGGTTCCGGCCATCTTGGAGGTGTAACCAGAGATGAAGTGGAACATGGTCTGGGCGCGGTCGAGCTTGGAGATGGGAGGCAGGACACCGCGGGCGTCACAAGTGAGGAGGATGATGTTGGTGGGGTGAGATTCTGACAAGCAGGGAATCTTGGCGTTGCTGATGTACTCGATGGGGTAGGCGCAGCGGGTGTTTTCTGTGAGGGTGCTGTCGTCGTAGTCGACGGCACGGGTCTCGGGGTCGAAGACAACGTTCTCGAGGACGGAGCCGAAGCGGATAGCGCCGAAAATATCGGGCTCCTTCTCGGCGGACAGGCCGATGGTCTTGGCGTAGCAGCCGCCCTCAATGTTGAAGACGCCGCGGTCACTCCAGCAGTGCTCGTCGTCACCGATCAGGGCGCGCTGAGGGTCGGCAGAAAGAGTGGTCTTGCCGGTACCGGACAGACCGAAGAAGAGGGTGACATCGCCGTTCTTACCCTCGTTGGCAGAGGAGTGCAGGGTGAGAACGTTGTGCTTGATAGGCATCTCGTAGAAGAGAACGGTGAAGACACCCTTCTTCATCTCACCAGCATACTCGGTACCGAGGATGACCATCTCCTTCTCGGCGAAGTTGATGGCGACTGAGGTGCCGGAGGTCATACCCTCGGTGTATCTGTTGGCGGGGAAAGAGCCGGCATTGTAGATGGTGTAGTCGGGGTGGAAGTGCTCCAGCTCCTCACGAGGAGGGCGAATGAGCATGTTTCTCATGAACAGAGCATGGTAGGCGCGGGCGCAGATAACACGGACGCGGATGCGGTACTTCTCATCCCAGCCGGCGTAACCGTCGACAACGTAAATGCGGTTTCTGGTGTTGAGGTAGTCGATGGCACGCTCGCGGTTGATCTTCCAGACCTAGAAATCTCACATGTCAGCGAATGCTCAAAGAGAGGCTGGCCCGGGCGCTGGTTGTGGGTCCAGTGCCGGGAGAAGCAGGAACATGGAGGCCATCGGTACGCGGGGTGGGTGTGAAAAGAGGGAACGGGTGACAGAAGTGGAGTCATGAGAAAAGGGTTTAGCGCGGCTTTGCATTGGAAAGTGCGGGGCCGGCAACCAACTGCCTTTCTTTTCTCATGCGCTGCACCCAAGGCCCAAAGGGGAACGAGGAGGGGTTGCAGCCTTGATGACGACACTCCCCAGTCGCAAAACTGCACCCGAGGAACCTGGCGGGGAACATCGGGGGAAAACATTGGATGAAGGACCATCTCGATGAGTTCCCTCCGGCATGAACCGATGCGATGCGCCTGCATCAATTCCTCGGGCTTGTGCAGAGATGACCAGCGGCAGCGCACTTTTTGCTTGCTGCACGCAGGCGTACCGGTAGCAGTGCCGAGCTGAAACATGACGCATTCATTGACAGCAAAGAAGTCTTCGGCAGTGCTTAAGTTCGTTTCGCTGCTGACTCAGGGTAGGACTCAAGCCTGGAGCAGAAAAGGGCCCAGACACTTTCCAAAGTGACTTTTTTGCTGTCTCCGAAAGGTCGCGTGACAGACGGCTCTGTTTGGGTGCAAGCGCAGTTGCCATGGCTGAGTGTCTTTGGGGAAAATGCAAATATCCAACCGATGACGAGCCACACAAACAAAGGACCAAGGGGAAGCGTGCCCACAGCACCATGACTCGATCTGGGGTGCGGTTTCTCTTACCTCGGGTGACATGGGCTTGTTAACAGGGCCCCACCTGGTGAACATCGTGTTAGCAAATAGTTACGCATTCAATGGTCAGCGCCAGCCTTTCTGAAGCTGTGCGCATCGACTATTCTGGCTTTCGAGAGGAGAGAGGCTTACCAGATGTCGTTCTTGGAGCTGTCCTCCTCGACAATTCGCTTGTCCAGAGGCGAACGGCCAGTCTTCTTTCCAGAGTAGGCAGTCAAAGCACCACTTGATGTGATGGCGGAACCGGTCTCGTAGACAAGGGCATCTTCGTAGAGGGCGGGAACAGAAGGGTTGGGGATAATGGCGACGCGGTCGTAGTCAATGTGCGCGGTCTCGTGGAGCTCCTCCTCAAGCTCAGTGTGCTCCTGGTGAGGACTGCAAGTAATGGGTTAGCCAACTGTTTCTTGTGTTTTTCCGTCCAGAAACTGGACTTGCTGAACCAAGAAACAGCAGGAAACTCACGCAACACCACCAGGGTGGAGAGGAGTCTTGTTAACGTTGCTAGCAATCACTGAGGGTGCCATGTTAGCTACAGCTTGTCGATTGAGAAATCTGAATGATGGTGATATTTTTGGGTGAGATGGGAGGTGGTATAAAGATGAGACCAAGACTGAATTGCGTTGTTGTGGGCAATCTCGGGGGAGGGGATGGGTGTATAAGAGGGTATGTGACGATATAACGGAGATGGGATGTAGTGTGGACGTACTCTTGCGTAAGTCTGCCTGGGTTCCTTCTGCGAGAATCTGAGACTTTGGGCCTTTAACTTTGGGATCAGTGTAGGGAGAAGCAGTTCTCTGGACGGGATCCTTCATGGTTATAAAGAATTGAGTCGTTGGACGGTAGGTCTTGTAGATCGGGTGAAGATGGTTTGGGTCAAGGCTTGGAGGCTTGTGGTTCTCGTCCGCTTTCAGGGATCGCGAAAAGGAATCGTATCCACACTTCTGGAATAAATTGGCCGGGGTGTACGGAGTAAGATGGGAGTGTGAGACTGGTGAGTACAAGTGTAGACAAAGCTGCTTTGGGTGGCTTGGATCTGAAGCTGGACCGAGGATAGAAGGGCCAGAATGGGGTCTTGGACTTATAAGAACGGGCGCGGCGTGTGGAGTCGCGGGGGCGAAGAGACCGATGTAACTGGACGAATTGCCGTTGCTGCGAGCTTCACGATATTATCTCGGGTTCGGCGGAGGGGCGTAGATCCCTGTGCGGGTTCGGGATAGAGGAGGAATAGGGATAGAATCGGGGAGAGTTGGGGAAGGCTTCTCGGGAGACGTCTTGTCTCGAGCCCTTTGTCACTTTGTATCTTTGCATGGTGCCTCCTAGGTTGGGAATGGAGGCGTGTAGTACAGTACAGTACACTAGCACGACTAGGTACGGGAGAAAATGTGTGGAGGAAAGAGGGGAGAGGGGTGTCATGGGTATGTGAGCAGGGTGTGTGGGCAGTGCAAAGGTAGGAAAAAGACAAAATTAAGAAAAAGAGACATGCAGCAGCAGCAGCAGCAGCAGCAGCAGCAGGTTGAAGAGTGCGAGGGCATGTCGGATTGCCTCATCGTCCCAAGATAACGAGGGCCCGAACTTGCCCGCCGTGTTTCCCTTCGGACCATGTTATCGCGGGGTTATGGGGGGGGTGGAAGTGGTTGCGGCAAGCCAAAGTGAAGGAGCCAAATTTCACCATGTTCTCTTAGACAGCGTCTATCATGATGCACAATCCTGCAATCCACAAATCCCACCTTGATCTTGAGTTTGAATCTGGAGCCTTGGGAGTACCTTCTTCTGCCTTAACCAAGGTAAAAAGTAGGTAGGTACACACCTCCAACCTGCCCCTGTTGGCGCATCCCCACAATCTGCGGGCTTCCTCCGTCTGTCTCCGTTGCGTCGGCCTGGTCCTCCCGAATCCTGGCTAACTTACCTCATCTTTGAAGCCGTCCACCTTCCCAGTACGTAAGTTGGGTATGCCAATTCACCATAGAGAGATGCAAAGGGGTCGTCTCTTGCATTTCTGCCCATCTTTACAGGAACCCCATATAGGTGACGCTTCGTCATTGGCTGCGGGTTCTTCTGTAATGTGGTTTGGCAAAAGGTACATGGAGGTACAATAGTCAACAGACGAAAGAGTTCGGGCGGCCTCCGGGACAGACACGCTTGTCGCTCCGCTACCTTGCCCTCGAATGTCGATTTCCCAGGAAATGGCAGCCCGAAGAACAACTCCATTCGTGCTTAGGCTAGCTACATCATCGAACGGGAAATAGGATCCTACCTCGATATGATTGGGCGCAAAACAGTAATCATAACGTGGAGGGGGATCCCGTTACACGTCGGCGCCAAAAAGAAGGCCGGATCATGAAGATCAATTATCCCACCCGCCGCTCACCCGGATAATTATTCAAATCTTGCTGGGGGGCCCGGGGAAACCCTCCCCTTGCCGCACCTTAGGTCATCAAGCCGGACAAAGCCGCGTGCACGCCGAAACTATGTCTGTGAATTGCGCAAGGAAGCCCCAAAACTTCGGCTTCTGACTCGGCATCGAGTCAGCCTCGAATTGAGCGATTCTACCTGCTCGGGTAGAAAGCGACCTCGAATTAATGTGCCAATAGAGCAGAAACGCGGTTTCCTGAAGTAAGAAAATGCATACGAATCAAGTCACCCGTTCCGTGCCGTACCTGGCCCGTCCGTCCATTTCGGTACGTACACCGACGTCTCCGTGTCAGACCTGGAGACTGAGCAGTTGCACTTGCACATGCTGTACCAAGCTATCTCCAATCCGTACGAAGTATAGACTCACACCTGCGTTCGATTACCGCGGTGCCTTGCCGCATCTACGCACTACTGTCTAAGCTGTGCACCCCCGCTCCCCTCTTCGTAGGTGCCCTCCACTGTCCAGCCCAGCCCGCCTTCACCCCGTCTCCCGCTCAGCCCAGCGAGCCCAGTAACTGGGGGAAAAGCACACGCAGCCAAGACTTCAAGACAGGTCGGTTTAACATGGGATTGGGAACAATTAGACCAGTTCTCTTTTTTTTGGTCTGATCTTTTTAGCTGCCTACTGCTGCGCGGCCCCCTATCAGCATGTTACCCTGCGGGTTGAGGTTCTGGGAAATCTCAATGGAACTTGGCAAGTTGCGGCTCCGAATCTTTCCACAAATCTGGGAAAGAGCTACCTTACACAGCGTTGAAGCGCTTACATGGAAAGCCAATACGTACCTATTGAATCCATCTGGTTTCCAACGCCTTCTTCCTCCCTCGCTCCCCGTAACATGTTTCGTCCCCGCTTTGAGGCAGTCCCGAAGTCTTTGAACCCTCCACGGCACTTCCGTCGTCACTTTTTCCACCGTCTGCCATTTCTGATACTCACCGTCAGTTTTGAAATTGCGTTCTGTCAAGTTTCCAGCTGATGTCTAATCGGCACCGAGCTGCCGTCAGTTGTCTCTTTTTCTATGCAAAGGAAGCTGAAACGACATTCACGATAATAATTAGGAACCCGAACGCTGCTCACGTTCCGATATCAAGAAGTCGGGACCACTGTGTGCGCGTGCGCGCGCGTGTCTCTCGTTAAGCCAAACCCCGCCAACGCATCGCGGCAATGCAATGCGAGCAACGGAACACCTACCGGTAAAGTACCATGGCCCATCTGGAGACTGGTACCCCCCTCCCCTGGTCTTCCGTAGTCTCTCGATCGGGCTTTCACGGGAACGATTTATGTGTATAATGTGGCTATGTGCAAGGAAGAAACATTAGAAACATAGCTCTGAATCAGCCGTGTATCCATATGCACAAATCCTCCTAATACCTCTTGGTATTGAGCGGGATGAGCCCCGAAATATTGACCAAAAGATGACGTTCAATTTTGCTGCTACCTCACATCGAGAGCCGCCTGGCCCCGCTTCGGAAACCCCCTCTCTAAATTGCCCCTCCACATAGCCGAGCATACCTAGAAACCCAGTGTCCCACCTTTCGTTGTCTATCCGTACGGATACAGGTACCTGAGTACATACGCTAGCGTGGAATACCCCGCGCCCCATGAGTCTTGACCAATGAAAGTTGCCCTGGAAGTACAAAGGCTGACCTTCAGCTTCTCATTCCGACTTCTCCCGGTTCTTTGCTTCGGAATTCCCAGCTTTTTGCTCTCTTTCCACCAGGTTTTTGATTGTATCATATTGACCGGATTTTTGAACTAAATAGATACGATAGATAGGGAAACAGAGATTGGTGTGCGACCGTCACATAATAGGCACACCGTTTGTTTCTGGTTCCTCAAGCGTCTAGGGCTATAACACAACTCGACGCAGGGGGGCAAGTAAATACGTCTCCTCCTGGGGCTGAATATTGATCCCATGGTCGTTCCATCATATTTTGTGTAGATTCCTCGTGTGCGGCGTGCCTGAGCAAAATGAATAGTACCTAACCTAAGCCTACCTAGGGAGGGGTGTTTCTTTATGAAGACAGTCAATACTTTGCTCATTCGCTTTGACGGTTGTTACTATTACGTACCTAGCTTCATTCCCCAGAGCCATGTGACGGACAGAAAAAGGAGGTCACCGACTCACCTTGCCCAGGCCAAGCCTTTCCAGCCCGTATTAAATTCCCAAGCATGGGGTAAGTGGTCACTCGGAACTTGCACGTTTTCCAGATTTCTCTGGGGTAATGAGGAGGAGGAGGCGGAGGAACGACACCAAAAAAAAGAAGAAGTGAGATTGCAGCATCTCCAGACTCCAGACTTCCTCCCCGTGGACTGGCCTGGCCACCTTGGAAGAGGCTCCCGCCCTCCCACCTCTTCGCAGTAGGCGCTTTCCCACACCAACCCCACGATGCTGAGGCGCTCCAGCCATCCAGCCTCCAATGTGACTTGACGGCTCGGGAAAAACGCATTACACACCGTGACAACACTGCCCATCGCAGTCAGTTGGAATTGGCAAGCCTCCGTTAGGCCGGCATCACCCCCTTCGGCCCCGCTACTGCTCCACAGTAGATTGCCGTCCGTCATATCTCGGCTCCACAACGCCAACTTGTTCTTTTTTCTGCCCAAACACCCATGTTGATTGTCAAGTTTCCAAAGTCGGGGAGGGCTTCTGGGCCCAACGATCCTCCCCTCCAAGCACGAGAATAACTCGGAGCTGCCGATGACCGCGGGGGCGGGGTGGGCCATATCTTATCACCGCCCCAATGCCCCCCGAATATGCCCTTATCATCGGAATCTATCGGAAGTGCAAAGAGTTCCATGCAGTCCCCTCGGATTTCGTCGATCCTGGTTCAAGCGCACATAATCGCCCCCTTTCGTACACATCACACACACACACACACACACACACACAGGGTCAAAACGTGAAGCCATCGTCATGCGCTTGTTTGACAAGGTTTGAGATTGATTTTGAGTTTTAGAACCGTTCTTTCCGTCCCTACCCTTCCTAAATCCTCTTTGTTCCGAGAATGCCACGTAGGGGGTCTATCATGCCGAGCCTTTCGCGGCCCGGTTCGTGTAAACGGCATTGGCCGCCCCCTTTTCCCCATGACGTCGCTATATTCTCTTTTACACATTTCCGCGCTGCTTTCTATGCACATTGGTCATGGCCCAGAACAGGTTCATTATGTTCCTGCGAATGTTCCTTACGCCTGCCAAATCCAAGGAGCGCTCGGCTCTCTTCCTCCGCCTGAAGTCAGCCGTGGGTTTCGTGTCAGCTGGTATCAACTTAAGATGTCTCATCCGTAATCAGCTTCGTGATCTTGCCAATGGCAATGGTTTGTCCCTATTTTCCCCATGTGTTAGTCGTCAGGTAAAGATAATCGGGAAATTGAGGCGCAACAAACCTGATCTCTGAGGGTGAAGCGACCCATTTGCGGGTAGTCCTCGAACTTCTCAATGCACACGGATCCGGCACCGCCAATGACTTGCAGACGAGCAATGATGCTGTCGCCCTTCTTCGCGTGCGAAGGAGGCAGCTTGCTCTTGCGTCCGGTGCCCTTTTGGAGCTTGTGCAGCAGCGCCGCGAAAGTCACCTCCTCAATGGCGGCGTGGACGTGCAGCACACAATTGAAGCCTGCTGACAAGATGCTCTTGAGCTCCAGAATGCGGATCTGAGCCTCAAAAGTTTGGACGTTGTGCACCAAGCGCTTGGGCGAGCACAGGACAAATCCAGGCATGATGTCTTCCTCCTCAATGCCCCTGAGGCGGATGCGGACCTGGTCACCGCACTGCGCAACCTGCACTTCCTCCTCAGTTTCGCCGTACACGGCAGACACATCAATGTTTTGCTTGTTGGGCATCATGACGAGCGACATGCCCTTCTTGATGACACCGGCCTCGATCTTACCCTCGATCATGGTTCCGAGATCGCGGTACTTGCCGGCAACGGCCATCATGAAGGGGGCGTTGACCTTGCGCTCAAGAGCTTTCATACCGTCGAGGTACTCGAGCAATGAAGGGCCCTCGTACCAGTCGGCGATACCCTTGGCAATTCTCTCCTTGATGTTAATCGATTGCTGGGCAGCAACAGGAATGAAGAAGACGTCCGTCTTCAGGTTGTAGCCGGTACCCTTCAAGAACTGGGACAGCTTGGTCGTGCACTCCGTGTAACGCTCGTGAGACCATTCGACAGTGGCATCGTCCATCTTGTTGATGGCAACAATCAACTTGTTGACACCCTGAGTCTTGGCAAGCATAGCGTGCTCACGGGTCTGGCCACCACGCTCGAAACCGGTCTCGTACTCTCCCTTACGGGCTGAGATGACCAAGATACCAACATCTGCCTGGGAGGCACCACCAATCATGTTGGGAACGTACGTCTTGTGACCGGGGGCGTCGAGAATGCTGTATCGTCGTACGTCCGTCTCGAAGTAACCTCTACCGACCTCAATGGTCTTGCCCTGTGAACGCTCCTCCTTGTTCAGATCCATGACCCATGAAAGGTACCAAGAAGGGTTACCAATATCCCTGGCCTCCTTCTTGTACTTCTCCATTGTCCGCTCATCGACCATGCCGGTGTTGTAGAGGATAGAACCACCCAAGGTAGACTTTCCAGCATCGACGTGACCGATGAAGATGATGTTGACGTGCTCCTTTCCGTAAATTTCCTTAAGAGTCGCCTCGTCGACATCGGCAGTCTGCTCCTTCTGGACGGCATCGACATCTCTCGTGACTCCCTTCTTCTCAGGTCCAGAGGGGCTGGAACGACCCGAGGAAGGAGCAGGGGAGGTCTTGCCAGACTTAGTGGTAGAAGCTCCCGTCTTCTCGATCGCCTTGGAAGCGGTTGCCTTGGCTCCGGCCTCAACTGCAGCGGCAGATGAGGTCTCCTTGGGGGCCTCCTCCTTCTTCTTTTCCTCCTTGGGGGGAACGGTGCCGCCGATGGAGAGGACCTTAGCCTTGGGCTTGGGGGCGTCACCGCCGATGCTCAAAACCTTGGCGCCTCCCTCACTCTTCACTGCGGGCTGAGGTGCGGCTGCGGCTGCAGGAGCAGGAGTGCTGGAGCCAGAGGACGGGGCGTCAGTCGGACGCTTAGCGATGGTAGGTGCCGCAGCCTGGGGCTGCTGTTGCTGCTGCTGGCCGTATTGGGGGTAGCCTTGACCTGGAAGGTGATTATGTTAGGCAACTCTCATGGAAGAGAAGATAACTTATCGATGTCTCAAACATACCGTAGGCTTGCTGCTGCTGGTAGCCCTGTTGGGGGTAACCGCCATAGTTGCCCTGGCCATATTGGTTGTATCCTTGCTGGCCGCCGTACTGAGGGAAGCCACCTGCACCACCGGCGCCGGGACCACCATAGCCTTGGCCGTAGTATTGCTGGTACTGTTGGGGGTAGCCGCCGTATTGCTGGCCAGGCTGGAAGGTCTGGGCTCCCGGGGTGAAGGAGGAGGCTCCAGGGGTGAAGGAAGAGCCGCCTGGACGGAAGGCGCCAGCTTGAGGGTTCTGCTGGTTGAGGTTGAGCTGCTGCTGAGCCTGGCGCGACAGGTTGTCGTCCTGGGCGGATGGGTCGTCTTCCCACGAGTTGAGGTTCGACATTGTGATGGGCTGCAGCGGGGCGGCAGATGGATGGGATTGTCGAGAGGTGAGGTGAGGTGTCGTGTCGTTTGTACACGATCAGGGAGCGTAATCGGGGGAGGGGGGAAGAATGCGGTCAGAGGTGAGCTAGAATTGGGATGGGTCGTTAACGAGATGCGCCCCGAGAAAGATTTAAAGAGGGGCTGGAGGGTTTATTTTTCCTGCACCTCAGACGTGAACGGCAACCTCTGTGGCGCCAGCAGACCAGTAACAGGAGTGACACAATGGGGAGGCAAAAGATGAGCAACAGTGTAATCTATGGGCAGAGAATGTGACTTGGAGTTGGGCTGGAATGACTCACTTTGTGGGTTGATGACTGCCGCCTGACTGAATTTCCAAGAAATAATTCCTGTTCTGCCTCTGGTAGAATTTCAGGTCAGATTTCTAGAAGCTTTTCCCGGCCTTGTCAATTTTTTCAATGATATAACGCAGCGGCTCTGTGTCTGCTAGCGTAGAGACCTGACGAACGTTTTGAAGTGCGGGCCCCACCACTTGGCGGGGTTGCTGCCTCGACTTTTGGCTGGACACCGCACTGTCCTCATACGGCAGCAACTCAGAGGTACGTAGCCAATGAGGGGTAATTTGCGCCGCTAAAATCAGTCTTGCCCCTCGCCTGGCCACGTGAGAAGCGCGGGGCTGGTGGTTGCTCTCGCACTGTGTTATGGATCCCTTCTACCCAATGCAGCCCAGTCGGCAAGGTACAGCGGTCAGTGGATGTAGCTACCTGAACGTCCTTACAGGGCTTCCATGGACTGACGGTTAAGGCTTTGAGATGCGATCCCGTCTTTTTTGATATTCACCTAGGGCAACCTGCCTCAGGTATCCTGGTCGGTTCATTCATCACCACCTACAGGGATTCCTTTCTTTGTTCTCATTTTCGTAGTACAGTCGGCACATCAACCCATCTTGCTGGCTGGACACTCAACTCAAGATCTGTCCTTCTCCATACCAGCATGGGAACTGATCAGTCATGGACGCCTTACTTGCGAAGCTGGGAGCCCAGGCAATGAACATGGCCATCAGGTCAGGCATTGCCTTGACCTCAACCTATGCTTTCTCCCAGTGTTCTCGCCTTATGAAGACTGTCGATGATCGAACTGTTCGTTCAGATATCAAGAAGCTCCAAAAGAGGTTGGACAGCAAAATAAAGGCAAGATTCCACCTTCTGGTTTTAACTTAGGGCCATACATGCTGACCCTACGTACAGATCGTCTCTCCTGCAATAGATCTCATAGAATTCAAGTACATTATCAAGACTTCTCTCGACGAGAATCAAGACCTGTTTGCTGATAATCTCTCAGATCAGGCAGAGGAAACGCCTTCTTGGAGTCAGCTCTTCCTCTGGCCAAGAGTCTTCGTCGAGACATCGTAGCCCTAGGTCGTCGGGTAGAACAAGCAGCTCAAGCTGGTGAAGCATCACGAGGGTCTTCGCGACAAAGTATCGACTCTGAGAGGCAATTCGAAGAATTGAAAGCAATCATCAAGGACATGAAAGATCTTTTGGCCCAGCTGGATAATGACATCCCTCTTTTGCATATGGCCATATCAGCTTCAGGGGAGAGTCTCAATTCTGCAATGTCCCCCCACATATCGCCCTCGAGGTTCTCTCAAGCAGGAACGTTCCTCACCTATGGTGATAGTCAATTTGCCGTCGATCCTACTCGCCCGGTGCAGATTGGACCCATCTTCACACTATCAATCTACATGCTGTTCCTCGGCCACTCCTCAAAGCCTGCCGAGGGAAGCAAGCATGCTGGAAACCCGCAAACACCTCAAAAAGGCTCCTTCGGCGAAAACGCGCAACCTTACGGTATTGGAGAGGGGGACCGTAAGCCATTGTGGCAAGAAGTTATGCACAAAGCCAGGGTACGACTATGTAGAACACCTATGTACCATGTCTTCGACTCTGAAGAAGGCTTTCGACCGAAAACGCCCAAAGACCGAGATTTTGACGAATCAAGGTTCTTTGGTTCAAATCCCTTCGGCATTGGCCCGCGCAACGAGTATGCTTACCACTTGGAAATCATTGAGGACCTGGATGATGGGCGAGCTCATGACGACCTGGACGCAGACGACACTCCGTATGACGACATCGTGCGGGCGGGCATTCGTGAGTCTATACCGATCTATCAAATATCCAGGATCTTCTACGCCGACACTGGCCGAATTCTCAACATTGGCAGTGACGACGGCGACAATAATCCTGTCTTGCTGCTGAAACGGGACGTCCTCGCCAAGCCACCTCTCAAGACTCAAGAGGAAATGATGTCTTTTCAGGA